CAACACAGTGAAATTTCTACAAATTCAGTGAAATTACTACAAATTCAACCATGCCACGTGCAAAAGCGGGCATACCCACTTTTGCTTTTGGCAGGACTTGGTGCCATTTCAGCTCTTCCTTCCACAGGGATCTGTGCTGGGATCTGTTCCCAGCACTCTTCAATGAATTCATAAATGACATGAAAAGGGCTCAACAGTGAGATGGCAACATCTGTTGATGATACCAAGTTATTCACAATATTGAAGACAGTAAATGAGTAAGAAGAACTGAAAAAGGACTGCATGCAGATTACTGACTGGACAATAAAATAGATCAGTGAAATTCAGTAGTGAAATTCATGAAGTATCTCAACGAAATTAAGTGTGAAGCAGGATAACTGAGGATAGCGAGAGTGGTCCTAGCTTCATGTGTAGGTCAACAGGCTCTGAACTGACTCTCAACACTTGGAGCAGGCTGAGGCCTAGAAAATTACGATTGTTATGGAGATAGTAGATAGCGATGAATTACTTGCATCTCCTCCAGTACAAGAAATGAATTTTAAACAGAGTTCAGGTTCAAAACTTAAAAGAATGTGGTTCCTCACTCAACATGCTGCCATGTTAGTTAAGCTATGGAACCAGACTATAACATTTCCTAATACTTGTCATGGCTCGAAAGGCAGATTTAACAAATTCCTAAGACAAGTCCAGTAAACACTGGGGGGGTGGGGGGGCAGGAGAGAGAGAGAAACCATCCAGCTCATTAAGACTCAGTACTACAGATGTCCAGAGATTAAAGAGCATGCAGAAGGAGGATCCTACATTCTCGTTCTGTTCCTGTGCTCCCCAGTTGCCCACCTTTGGCCATTGCTGGAGACCAAATACTGCTCTAAATGGGCGTACGAGAGGAGCTGCTCGTCTACCCTTACATTCATTACCTCTCCGTAAGTCATTTTGTCTAGCGCAGGTATAATGTCCCAAAGGACTGTCAAGTGTTAGCACCTCTTCCATGCTCGTTACAAATATCCAAACACTCACTGTGGATAGCAGATGAAAAGCCACCTTCCACCTCTCTACCAAATATGAGTCTAACTCTAAAATCTTTCTTTTATTTTTCAATAGCAGGAAAAGACACACAACCTAACACGAGGAATCCAAATCACAAAGGGGGAGTAGGAAATACATATTAATGCAAGCAACTCTACTGCTATAGAAGTATTTTCTTAGTTATTTCATTGATTCCAAAGAAAGCGAAACTGGTCCTAGAATGATGATGAGGTGGACTGACCTTTCTATTCTATTCTGGACTTTTTGCATAATTTGTCAGGGAAAGTCCTCTGAATGACACAGAAAAAGCACATCCAAAATGTACAGCAGTAATAGCCGGTGGGGAGAAAGGGATCTTGTGACTAAGCGTAAATATTGTAATATCTAACAGTTGGACTTGATGATCTTAAAGGTCTTTTCCAACCTAGACGATTCTATGATTCTATATCTAGCGGATAGTATTATCTGCAAAACCATTAGAATTGCCATGCTGATTTTGATCCCCATTAAACATTTACCCACCTAAGTACAGCAAAACAGTTCTCTCATTCTGAAAGGGTGTTGTGGTTGCTGTCACTGTAACTGCTCTTAGAGCAGTGGCCAGTCACTCGGAAGGCTACACACAATACAGAGAAATACAATGTATTTTACTGGAGTTTCACATCTTTGTTGTGGTATTGACAGGCAAAAATAGCGTCCCGTATTGATGCACCTGGAATACGTTCATTATCACTTTTGGGCAGGTGATTTTAACTCTCTTCTAATCTCCAAGGAGCCAGAAAGCAAAGACACACAGTCCTAAAAACCTTAAGATACACAACTTCACATAGTGTCCCAGTAACTGAGATTCTCAGAGATTATTCTCGTTCTCTGGGAAGGTGAAAAAAAAAAATCTTTTCTACAACGAGATTATTCTCGTTCTCTGGGAAGGTGAAAAAATCTTTTCTACAAGATCTTAATGAGATGTTTGATGTGTCTGCCCAGCCTGATATACCCTAAAACCTCCGGAGATGTAAAATAAAATAAAGCCTAGGTGAAAGGGTCCATTCATTGAGTTCCCTCTTCCAAGAACTGGAAGGTGACTCACTGC